GCGCCCAGCACCAGCACCTGCACCAGCAACCACAAGCACCAGCACCTGCACCCGGCACCCAGCACCAGCGCCAGGCACCAGCACCGGCACCAGCGCCCAGCGCCAGCAACAGCGCCGACACCCAGCACCAGCACCGGCACCCGGCACCAGCACCAGCATGTCTCCACCACGTGCACAGCCAGCTCACAGCACCAGCACCGGAACCTGGCACCGGCACCACCAACCTGTCTCCACCACGTGCACAGCCAGCTCACAGCACCACCGGCACCCGGCACCCACCTTCGGCACGGCACCAGCAACCTGTCTCCACCACGTGCACAGCCAGCTCACAGCACCAGCACCAGCACCAGCACCGGCACCCAGCACCAGCACCAGCAACCTGTCTCGAAAGCGCGCGCGGGCAACTCATTGCTATTTGAAGTAAGAACCCCGTAGCTTCGCTATCTGGGGAAAAAAGAGCTGGCCACACTCACTGGCCGCGCCCCTGAACTCTGTGGCTGGGCTTACTGGAGAGGAGTGTGGCCGAACAAATAGCGATGTCAATGCCGACAAAAGCTCATTGATGAAGCAGTTTGGTCTTGGGGTGAAGGTGGGGCGTACCAAGAAATCGATGTTTGACTAATATTGGTCTAAGCGAATCGTATTGAAGCTGCTTGGGGCCTATGCTTGTATATTTTCCTTGTCTTAGGGGGATGCATGATACCGCTTTCAAAGGGCTCTTGGTTCCGACAATATGTGAGACACTCTCACTTGACTTTGGTGCTTGCCAGACCTGGTGGTGCTTTGGCCATCAGCGCGCAAAAGGCCTGTTGCTCAGTCCTGCTGCCATTGATCATGAGGAGAGGATTCATCGAAGGAGAGTCTTAGAACTAAGACACCGACTGAGAAACCGTTCACATGGTCTTAGTGAGGCTTAGACCAAAACAAGTGAAGCACTGCAGTGCCGACGATGATCCAAGGGGCGCGAAGGCTTAGATGTCTTCCAAGAACTCCTCGGTGCGCTGCGGCCGTCAGCGGGAAGCGTCATGAACGACCTTGGCGCGGATGTGTTCAGTGTGTTCTACCGTTCTACCTGTCCAATGGAAGTGGCGAAGTTGGTTCCACTGAAGTCTGCTACTTGATTATAGTTGCTCTAGCCTCAATCTGCGCGCATGACTTGTGGCTGAAAGGATATATAATTGGTTGGAACATGCCAATTTTTGCAATTTTTTTTTGCCATGCACCCTTGGCTGCTGCTCCCTGGTGCCACGTGTTTTGGTGCAAAGCTTCCTTCTTTCAAGTTGATGGTGCCATCGCCGGCACCGCCAGAAGTGTGGATACACCATCTATGAATGTGGAAATTCATGGAAATTCCGACCTATCATCAGTAGGATTAGAAGGTCATTCCGCAGAGGTAAGGAGTCATTCCGCAGAGAGGTGCGCCGAAGTCTTCTCCAGCCTTCAGACTGGAGGCGGGTGGGAGGTGAGTCCAAACGTCAGGTTGTTGGAATATGCAGAGTGCAGTCTTTCACTGCCTGGCCCGCACCGTACTTGGTGAAAGTGTTTTGGAATCAAGCAATGGAATTGACTCAGATGACACCAAACATAGGATTCTGGTATCTTTTCTGCTCGGTTGGTCTTCTTTTGGGGCCCTAGCTCTGAAACGGGCCGCTTTGGACGACTGCACCACAGCACAGCTCAAGCATCGCAAGGTGAGGGAGGTGACCTTCCAGGGAGAGGAGCCCTCGTGGTTTGGTGAAGTCGCTTCGCTTCTTGAAAGCGACTGCATCAGTTGCCCTGCACATAAAACACCGATCTGGAAGACCAGTCTTTGCGGCGTTTTGGAGAACATAGGCAGTCTCGGGATTGTCTCGAAGTTTATGGTAAGGAGAATTCTGATTTGCACTTGCTGGACATGCATGAGTGCTTTTTCGGGTGCAGTAAGTAGGGGGGCACCGTATCCAAGAAGCTCAACAAAGACAGAATTTGTGCTCCTGTCAGCACATGGGGACGAGGCGGACCACTTCTCAAGTGAATGCAGTGATTGAGGCCACAAGAGGCAACCACAGCACAGTTTCATGCTGGATGCATCGTCTCAGTTTGGCTCAGGGAAAAGTCACGGACTAGAGTGACTAGAGCAATGCAAGAAGTGCTGAACGTGCTGAATGTCTTGGAAAAGCGGCTCGAAGAGGGAAAAAAGGAATTCGATTCTTTGAAGTATTTGCTGAACGAGCTTGGCACAATGAAGTCTGAAGAGATCCAGTCTTTATCTGATTTGCTGAAAGAGCTTGGCACAATCAGGCCCGAAGAGATCCAGTCAGTATCTGACCTTGTGCGAAGGCAGAGAACCCCACGAAAGTTCTCCGGTGCAGTGGCAATGGTAGGTGGAGACTTTTCAGAGTTGAGGGACGACAGCAGAGCCTGGATTGAAGAGGATGATAGTCATGATGATGATAAGGATAGGAATGTGCTTGACCCGCAGCATCTTCATGAAGAGGCCCAGCGGGTTCTTGGTTCAATCCCAGGTGAATGCTCACCTAAAGGCTTTGAAGCTAAGTCAAGTGTGGTGACACCAAACACCGTTGAAGAATTCATTGACGGCTTGGATTTTGAGAATATTGAACACGGAGGTACCTACTTTTTCTATTATGCTGGACATGGTTTCGAAGTTGAAGGAAGATTCTACTTCCTTCCGGGAAAGCCGACAAGTCTTTTAGGTTGCGTTCCTCTCGACTACATTCTCGAACGCTTGAAGACCTTCTACGGATGCACATTTATTTTTTGCATCAACTCTTGCCGCAGTAGCCTCCAAGGCAAGTTCACAGCTGCTCTTCGCGACTCCTTCAAACAGAAGAGTGGCACCTCCTTCAACAATGTTATCGTGATGTTTCCAACTGCTTCTGGTGTTCCAGCCAAGGATTGGGGTGCTAAGGAGACGACCTTTGAGAAGCTTGTGAAAGAGTTCCTCCCGAAGTTCGCAAACACAGACGATATAACGACTCTGTTCACCAACTTTGCTACCAAGGTTAGCAAAGATGACCAAGATAATCCTGGGCTGCACTTCTTCCCCTCTGCTGTTGCAAAGCCGCCCACCAGTGGCTACACACTCCTTTGGTATGAGAGCCATAAAGACATGCAAACCACCCATAAGGATGGGACAATCCAGGTGCGCGATCAACGTAAGGCCCACCGCCGGCGTGTGAACCGCATGACGGCGCCCATGGTCTTGTCGCGCACGGAGCAAAAGAATGTGTGCGTGATCCTGGACCACACTGGAGGCACCAGCTGTAAAGACTATGTCGCCCGCTTTATCCACACCGGCATGAGTGCAAACTACATGATCAGCAGCGATGGGACCAGATATTTACTAGTGGATGAAGAGTCAATGGCGTGGGATTATAACTTGGCATATTGGGGCGGTGCTGACTTTATTGCGGCGGAAGATTACTTAGATACCGAGGGCAAAATCAATGAACTGAAATCTTATTCAATTTCCATTGCCCTGGAAGGCAAAGACTACACCAAGAAGCAGTATGAAGAACTTCTAACTCTGCTGAATGAAATCCGGGGCAGGTGGAATCTGGACCCCTGGAACCTCGTAGGAGCAGAGGAGGTGGTGCAAGATCCAAAAGCGCAGGTTGGACCGGGTCCCAAGTTTGAATGGCACCGCCTAGCTGAGGAGGGTTTCTCATTGAAGGTAGACTCTCCTCACAAGTCGGGGGTTGCTTTCAATGATCCACAGAAGCCACAGAAGCTCTTGACAGATTTGGGAGCATGGGGTTATGCTTTTGGTCCGGATCAGCTTGAGAGGATGTTCTTAGAGAAGCGCAAAGCCGCTTTCTGTCATCGATATGGCATTAACCCAGATGATGCCGGACCAATCAGGGCTGCTGTAGAGTCCTTGCTACAGCAACGCTCAATGCGAAAGACCCAGCAGCCTGTGGCCTGATCAGGCAATCTGGCCAAGAGCGTGCAGTGCTCTGGCTCTTCGACCACGGATGTGATGTGTTTGAGCATTTCTCTGGCAAGACGCTGAGATGCTTGCTGGATGCGAGTGGCCGGTGCTCTAGCTGCCAGAGGTGCTGCGACTAGCCCGCACCGCGGAAAAGGAGCATAGGCCGTTGGAATTGAGGCTAGGGACAAGCGTTTGATATTTCTTTAATTGGACCCTCCAAGCCAGAGATCATGAGGAGACAACCTAAGCGGCCACCCTCAGAAGCTCCAATGTCGGAGCGGTCGTGACTAGGAGTTCCAGATCTTCATTGGCCATCGACAATGACTCCATGGCCACAACCAGTCCGTCCACAGGCTGGAGATATTCCCGTGTAAACGGATTTTGCAAACACAAACGGACGACCAACAGATGACTGACGAACGATCCCTTGAGCGACCTCTTAGGTGGTGGTCGACGTGCTAGCCTTGGGCCGAAGTCTCATGGAAAGAAGTTTGGCAGCTTAGCATTTAGCTTTGGAGGGCTGCTGAGTATGTCCAATCCTGAAGTTTCATTGAGGATGGGTTGAGCATACTCACACCACCAACCTGGCCAACCTTCAAACCTATAAAATTGTCCTTTTGCCATTCAACGGCACCGCAGAGCCTTTTTGTGAATCTGATACCGGCAGCTGTTTTTGGCTTTGGCGGGTTGAACACTCCACAAATAGGCTCAAGATCGTTTCACCCAAGAAGAATCCGCGCCATGCCATGAGATCATGCCATGATGCTCCATTTTCGGACATCTTGGCTTCTCAGATCTCGACGCCTGAGTCTACGACGTCTTCGACATCCTCCAATGCCAAAGGCGCAGAGCACACCTGCCCGAATGAGGTGCCATGCAGAAGGAGCTGGTACATCGCTGCAGGTATCTCTCTGTTGATCATTGGGCAGGCCACTTGGAAGAGGAGAAAAGAAACCTTTCCTTGAGCCCCTGCTTAAAGCTAGCTCTGGAAATAGGTGGCTGGTTTTCAAAAGATACCTGGAACACCTATTGAGCACTGCAGGTCTTTCTGATTTGCTGGGCCTGTATGCCAGCACCACCATATGGCTTTGGCCATCAACATGTGATCTTCACACCGCATGGATCCTTTGCCTACAACCAAGTCTTAGCCACGATGCACTGCATTTGTGCCCTGACCTTTTGCTTGATTTGGCGACGAGGAGATGCCCCGATCTTACTCTCTGAGCTTCAGATCTATCTGATGACCGGATGGTCCTTTTGGCTGTTGGGAGCCGCCTACTCGTTGGTGGTCTTGCGAGGATTGTCCATGGCAGTCCAGATTGTCGTCTCCTGACGTTCCAAGTTTTGGCCCGTCGAGTCGTACTCTGCAGAAAGACTAATCAAAGATAGAGAAGAGGAGAGGTCCCCAAGTACAGCTACCTTTTTTCGGGGTCGGGTCAAAACAGGCTCCAAGTTCTGGGTGGAATTCCGGAATCTCACCGGCGTGAGGTGGCCTCCTTCCAGGGTGCCAGCTGCGCCTGTATCGAGTTTGCCTTTACCTACCTGCTCCAGTGCCGGCTTTCCTTGCTGGAAAGAGGCTTCGGCTCTCCTATGGGTTCACAGGTGGGGGAGAAAAGCTTGATGGTGAGGGAATGGGTGATCAGAGGCCGTTGGACTTGCTGGGTTGGTTCTGGTTGGCTCTTTGCTTGGATCGTTTCTGGGATCCAAGACCCACAAGAAGATCACAGGCATATGATACGGGTCGGACGGCGCGGCAGGTGGCCTGGCGGATCCGGCTCTTCACCATGGTGTGCCAACTGAGCTTGGTGGTCATCGGCGCGCAAGGGGAGGCGATCGGATCCCAAAAGGCGCGGAAGGTGAAGGACAACCAGGTGTGAAGGACAACAGTTCAACCGAAGATCCTTGTCTCGTTGATTTGCTGTTCTATACTATTCTATACTACGTATTTATTGGTTTTATTGACACTTTGAAAGGGTCTTTGGAGGAGAGTTGAGTTGGCAAGCGATTTTGAAGTCTTTCCGCAAGCCTCTTGAATCATCCAAAGAGGACATATGGTTTGTTGCAATCACGATGCACTCGTTGACCAAGCGTCAGCCCCTTCTTGTGCGAAATGACTCGTGCCAGGCAATCGACTGGGCCTATGCAGCTTTCCATTTGACTGCGGCCATTGGTGTCACTGGGCTTAAAACCAACTGGATGCCCCCGGAGGGCTGCCACACTTGGATAGACGAGTTGGAGTTTTGTTCAAACATTTACTTGAAAAGGATGATTAATGATAATGGCATGGATGTGATTGGGGAAACGACAACAACAACAACAACAACAACAGTTGAATGGGACACGTTGGGCGGCACACGCTGATTCCTCTTCCCCGTTGGTAGACTGCAGATGAGAGACAGCTTCCGCTTCCCAGGTCACAAGCATCTTGTTGGTCTCGGTGCGTGCATTTTGGTCCGTGACCAATGCAATGAGAGAGATCCCGGTACCAAAGCAAAGCTTCGCCAAGATGGAGAAGGAGTGGTCCTTGAATGTCTTCAAGCGGATGACACTGGCTGTTGTAGTTTCGGCTTCAGTAAGTATCACCGCACACTTGTTTTGTGTCCATGCCATCCTTCTAGTCCATGGGGGTTTTCGAGCCATTCTGGGCACGGCATATCACTTCGCAGACATCGTGGCCGAAGTGATGGGGCTCATTTTCATTGTGGGAATCCTGAAGCCTGAGATGCCGGATATCAAGCCGGAAATCCGATCCATGCGTGGGGCGTCGATGCTGTTTGATTCATCGCAGAATCCTTGGAATGCCAAGGTGCAGGAGCTCGCTCATCGCAGCATCGATCTGGAGAACTTGTTGGATTTCTATGATAAGTTGGGAGGAGAGACCATGAAGCATTTCAATCCTTTCCTCTCGACCACAGCAGATGTAGTCCGGCAGGCCGTGATTCCCCTTTCCAGGGTAGACCGAGGAGGCCTTGCTTACACTGATGCGCTGACAGCAAGAGGCAAGCTGAGCCAGCAGATGCCAGATTGTATGGTGACTCACACTTGGTCTGGCCTCTTCCTTCATTTGGTGGCTGCGATTGTGTCAGATGCACTAGGGCTCGATGAATATCATCAGATAGCATCACAGATGAGCAGTGGCAAGCTCACGGAGGTCAAGCAAAGGCTTGCTGCAGAAGGTGTGTTGTACAAGAGATACTGGATTTGCTGCTTCTGTGTGAATCAGCACACCAGCATTTGTAATGGTGTTGGAGAGGCTCCCTCTGATCCAGCAGCACTTGTTCGTTGGGATCGAAACCGCAGAGACACAGCGACAGGTCAACTGTTGAGCTTTTGCGATTGCAAGGAGCCCAAAGTGTTGAATGATCAGCCAGACAAATGTGAACTGAACAAGTTTCATGTCATGATGCTTTGGCTTCAGCAGCACAACCCCAACTTTCGACAGCTGGTCTCAGTGGACTGCGAGTTTACTGTTTTCGAGCGAGCATGGTGTGTCGCGGAATTGGTGGCGGCCCACAATGCGGAGATGCCTCAGAGCGTTTGCATGTATTCGAATCGAGCGTTTGACCTTGATGCAGAAGATTTGTCAACTTACCAAAAACTCACGAACCTTTCTGTGGCCAACAGCCTGTCTTCAAGACCAGAGGATAAAGAAATGGCCTCTCGTTTGCACTTAGCTTAAATTTCAAATAAAGCCTGGTCTTTAGGCCCTTGATTTGTGGTGTTTTTTTGTGGGTGTTCTCCACATGCCGCCACATGCCTACCTTCTGATTCTAAGGCGTTCTGTCAGCGGACCTGAAGACACAGCCAAGGTCTTATCGCAGATTTCCAGCGTGCCAGCCTTTGACGCCGAGCTCCAGTTTCTGATCTTTGGCAATCGAGGCTTTGAGAATTGGGCGACGGCTCCCCCAAACCTAGATGGTCACTCGCACAAACACCCAGTGCTTCTGTGGGGAGTAGCAGGTTTTCTTCCCTCAAGCAGGTTTAAAAACCTCAGAGCCACTGGCTCATTTCACAAAAAAAAACAACATGGGTATATACATAGTGCAAGGATGTGCAAGGATATGATGAAGACATGCGAGAGGAAGACACTCCACAAAAAGGTCTAAGGGCCTGACGCTAGTCCTGGCGCCTTTTCAACCAAAGGACCACCCCAAATCAATAACTCTGCTCAACCAACTCTCCGCTCGACCAGTAGAGATGCTCTCGGTCCGATCTCCTTTGGATGAAGGCCCGACCCAAAACACCTCCCCCAAACGGCCGAGCCAACCGCAGCGCGTTGAAGCCAACCGGCCGCCCTTGGGTGGAGGCCTGTTGAAGCAGAAGTTCTTTGGCTTCGACGCGTTGATCCCTGCGGCTCGGACGGCTCGTCGACTTTGTAGCCTGGTCGAGCAGGTCTGAACAGGAACCGGCCCAGGCCGAGCCATCTTTGGATCGGATCCTGTAGGGGTTTCCACATGCTTTCCACCAGAAATAGAATCATGGAGTTGGACATGTCAAGGCAAGTTTGAGAGAACTTGGCGGGAACAGGGCGTGCAAAGGTAGAAAGCTGCCACGTAGTTCCAGATGAGATGATCAGACCAAAGATTGGATTTTCAAGGAGAGGCTGCGGCCAAAGAATGCATGGGACACCGCCATGCCGCAAAGAGCAGTCACTCTCCACCTGCTTCGGGCTGCAGTGTTTGCCACAGAGTGTGCTGTGCTTGTCGGCAAGCCCTCCGGCCCCTGCATGACATCCGCAGATTCTCCCGCGGTTTTATGCCAACTCGCTCTGTCTCACGTAGCCAGAGCTGGCTGTGAAGTGTGTTTAGGCCCGCGCGAAGCCAAGAGACGGTTGCACAAGCGCAAGTCTTGACTGGTCCATTAACAATCTGTGGCAAAAGCGATCCGGGGGCACCTGTCATTACATGTCATTATGTGCTACTTTCTTTTTTGTAGGTCTTTATTGTCTTTATTGTTTGCATCTGATGCGACAGCCGCTTTGCAGCTGGCTCTTCATGGGCGGCTGCTTTGCCGTAAAATTCCTGACTTCGGAGGTTGTGGCACTTTTCTAAAGCATGTGCGTTTTTGCCTTGTCAGCGGTTAGATCTGACAATCTTCATGCTCCTGCAGTTTTGGCTATCATTTCATTTCGGGATCGTCGCCCCTGCACATGACCCTCGAGAGATGGCAAGTGTGCGCTACAATCGGCTTAAATTTCAGACCTCATCGTCTTCACTACTCTGGCTGAAGGACGAGAAGGATCCAGAAAGGCGGCGCTCAAGATGCTACATCTTTGCTGTGCTCTTTCTGATGGCCCAGGCAACTTGTACAAAAACCCTCTCAAGATTTGCATTCACTCAACCCATGGAAAAACCAACAAGATCTTGGCAAGCGCAGCAGACAAGATGAAAGAAAACAAAAGCCCAGAACCCTAATTGACATGATTCTCAATTCTCCTTGTACCTAGGCGGGCTCGCTGTGCTGGTATGGTGTCAGTCCAAGTCTACCTCAATCACCAACAGCTTCAAATTTGGTTTTCCCGAATTGTCTCTTCTGGGGATACCAAACACTGGCGACGCTTGACTTGGGCTTGTTTCTTCTTCTCAACTTCGGAGCTGAGCCTTCATCCATGTCTGCACTCCAGATTTATGGCATGACCGGATGGTTATATTGGTTGCTGGGTGCTGTGCACTGCCTCACCCTGAGAGATGGTGCTCCAGCCCGAGTCCAAAGTATTACACTCACACTCCAACGTTTTAGTGGCGCATTCCTTGAATTCAATTTTTCCTACTTGCTCCAATGTCGATTGGCACTCCTTGAAAACGGTGTCGGAAAAGTTCGAGTGATTCGCTGGCTGGTTCTGATGCTCGCAGTGAGTCTCAAAGCGCTGCGTGAATATGTTCCAACCACTTCGCAGCTCACCGACTGGTCCTCAGCTACCTATCATCTTGTAGCAGGCCTGGGCGTCTCTTGGTTGCCTACCTCTCGACTCGAGCCACTTTGACCTTTGACCTTTATATATATATATATATATGTTAAGACTGCATGGGGTGCGGATATGAGGGTTGCCCTCCCGAGTTCTGTCACCAATATCGCCAAGGTCAATGTCGTTGAAGCATGTTCGCAGTAGCATGTGTCACCATGATAGCTGCCAAGGTCTTGTACACCCTCTTCGCGTGCTTTTGGCACCGTGATTCGGGCCTTGGAGCAAACCGTGCTTCCCGATCAAAGTTTTGCAAACCTGGAGAAGAAATGGTCTCTAAGTGTTTTAAGGCGCATGACCGGCACTGTCCAGGTTTTGTGCACAGTAATTGCAGCCTCCCATCTCCTGTGCATCCCTCCAGTGCTCATGGTTTGCGGCTTTCTTCCTCAACACCTGGCTCCCGCATACCACTTGGCAGACATCGCAAGCCAGGTGCTGCAGAAGCCTGAGTTGCCTGAGTCCGAGACATCCTCTATCCGTGGAAGGGCAAAGCTTCGAAGAGCTCTGAGCAAAAATGCTCAGAATGCCAAGGTGCAGGAGCTCGCTCATTGCAGCATCGATCTGGAGAACCTGTTGGATTTCTATGATAAGTTGGGAGGAGAGACCATGAAGCATTTCAATCCTTTCCTGTCGACCACAGCAGATGTAGTCCGGCAGGCCGTGATTCCCCTCTCTAGGATGGAAGGAATGGAAGGAAGAGGCTTTGCTTACACCGATGTGCTGGCTGCAAAAGGTAAGCTGAGCCAGCAGATGCCAGATTGTATGGTGACTCACACTTGGTCTGGCCTCTTCCTTCACTTGGTTGCTGCCATCGTGTCAGATGCACTAGGGCTGGATGAATATCATCGGATAGCATCAAAGATGAGCAGTGGCAAACTTATGCGGGTCAAGCAAAAGCTTGCTGCAAAGGGTGTGCTGCACAACAGATACTGGATTTGCTGCTTTTGTGTGAATCAGCATGCCAGCATTTGTAATGGTGTCGGAGAGGCTCCTTCTGATCCAGCAGCGCTTGCTCGCTGGGAACGGAACCGCAGAGACACAGTGACAGGTCAACTGTTGAGCCTTTGCGATTGCAAGGAGCCCAAAGTTTTGAATGATCAGCCAGACAAATGCGAACTGAACAAGTTTCATTCCATGATGCTTTGGCTTCAACAGCAGAAGCCGAACTTCCGGCAGCTTGTTGCGGCAGATGGCGACTTCAATGTCTTTGAGCGAGCATGGTGTGTCGCGGAATTGGTGGCAGCACATGATGCTGACATCCCACAGCGGATTTGCCTTTATTCCAACAGTCCATTTGACTTCGATGAAGAAGACCTGTCTGCCTATGCCAAGTTGGCCAGCATTTCAGTGGTTCCTTGGCTCAAAGGTAGGTGTTGGTCGAAAAGAACATTGATTGCAGGTATAAGTCAAACAATGACTTGGTGCTTTTCACCCAACACCTCCTTGCCCAACAGTGTCGCACCGGAGATATGCGCTCAAAACTGAGGCTAATAGTGTGGCAACGCGGCAGGAGGACAAGGAGATGGTCTTGCAACAGATCTTCTCCGTGAAGGACCAGTTTTGCCTTTTTGTGTTTCTCGATAGGGTAGATGAAGTCCAAGAAACGGGATTAAATGCCCCGTGACCGCGGACAGAAGGGCGCTTTTGGATATCTTTGGCACCACCACCATTTTGCGAGGGCCAGTCCTTGTCAAGATAGAAAGTTAAGCAATTCATGGGGACAATTCATGCTCAATGCACAACCGCGTGCGGAAGGATTTCGATTGTTTTGAGCGAAAGGACTTCGACCGAGAGTTGCAGCACTTGATCTTTGGCAACCGACGCCCGTCGGCAGGGGCAGGGGCGGGGCTGTATCTATGGTGAGAGTTTACAACATGCCTAAACACTCGCAAAGATCGGCCAGAAGACATGGCCAATGTACACATAGTGCTACAGAAGACATGTGTAGAAGACATGCTTCTGTTGGTACTACAGAAGAACTGCTCGTGGAAGGCCCCGGTCTCATGTTCAGTCAGAAAACCTTTAGCCCAATTCCAACTCTCGACTCACGAACAGAAGATGATTCAGAAACTAGCTCCGGCGATTCAGAAACTACAGCTCGTCCAGATTCAGAAACTCACCCGATTCAGAAACTGGCCGATTCAGAAGCTCGCCGATTCAGAAACTGCATGGTGGGGGTGGGGTTTGGGTGGGGTGATGTTGACATTCTGCAACACGTGCATCGAGCTTCCATGTAGTTTGGTTGAGCCACCTTTTCCCTCCGGTGGCCGTTCATGCTCAGGGGCCCCTTTTTCAGAGCCAAACCCCAGAGGTCTTGAGGAAAAGCCATAAGCGCCTGCCGCTTTCGTTCGACTTGGTTGGTTTCGTTTGAGCCCTTCTTTTAGCAGCTACCACTGCGCTCCCGCTACATGGTAGCGGAGCGCAAGCTCCAGCGCCTTGGATCTACGCTTGTCCTTCATCCTGAAGATTGTCCTCGCGCGGACTGGGCGGCTGGACCTTGGCAAGCCCCTTTCTTTTTCCTTTGAGTTGATTTTCGGCCCTGAGCATGACCAAAGAGGATGGCAACCCCACGATCCCATCGTGGGATGGGTTGCCACGAACGTGGCGTAAGTACACTCGAGAAGTTTCCTGGTTTTTCCGAGCTACACCGGTGGCAAAGCGCCGTCATGTTGCCACCAAGCTTCTTTCTCGCCTCACCGGCCCGGCGAGGTTGCTGGCTATGAGCTGGAGCGACATGTCGCTGGACGACTATGGGAACGCTTGGCCGCTTCTCCATTAGTGCGCCAGAGCATCCCCAACGCCTCGGCGATTTGCAACCAGTACTTCAGCTTTGCTCGCAAGGCTCACGAGCCTATGACCCAGTTCCTAGTGCGAGAGGCACTTGGATTTTCTGAGTTTGTTGAGGCCTTGGTACGCCTGGCTGAGGAGAAGCGTGGCATTCGACAAGAAGACAAAGACTTTAGGCCTTCCTGCAGAGGAGGCTGACTATGAGCAGGACTATGACTCCGGATGGGATGCATGGTGGGGTGATTGGGCTGAGTGGCCGCAGGACGATGAGAACGCTCCTGACCCAGAGAATGGTGACTTTGATCCCAACTTGGCTCAACCCACTACGACCCTGCCGGCGTCTACGTCACGAGCGGAGAGTGGTTCACCTCATGGGGGTGGCTATCAACGTGTCCCTCAAGGATCGGCTACTTCACCAAGCCGGAGGTCAGCTGGAGTGCAACCTTCCTTGGCTGCTGCGATGAGCTCAATGAGCTTAGCTTTGCCGACTCCTTCGTACTCAGAGTCCTCCGAGGATTTCGCCTACTCCAGGCCGCAGGTTTGAGTGCTGATGAACGCCGAGACATCTTGTCGGCGACCCATGGATCCCTCGACTTCGATGAGGTGAACCGGGCGCTACAGACACTATGGGACGAGCAATTCACCGGAAGCCGCTCTTCGCATCCAATTCTCTTCAACTGAATGGCAACCTGCCACTTGGGATTCATTTCATGTCTCCGGTGATTGGGGACAAGAGGACTGGTCTTCATGGCTTTGGGCAGCAACCGCCCTCGGTTGGCATGGGAAAAGGCCGTGGTCCCTGCTTCCAATGTGGAGGCCCTCATCTTTCTCGAGAATGCCCTGACCGTCGACACCCTGGACCATACAAGGGGAAAGGCAAGGGTAAATTGAACTACATGATTGAATATGACCCGTACACGTACGACGACTTCTTCACGGGCAAGAAGGGTGGCAAAAAGGACAAACACGCCCACTGGCTCGATGCACAAGCCTGGATGAAGGGCAAAAAGGGAAAGGGCAAGTCCAGTGCCCCAATGGGACAACCTTCCGTCAATGCCTACAACACTGAGATGCTCTTTGGTGCCTTAGATGTGCAGGCTCAGATCAACGAGACTGAGCGCACAGTTTCTCCACCTGAGACACATGGTCTCCTGGATTGCGGGGCTACAGCTTCTGCTGGCCCTCAGATTGCAGTTGAGCAACTGATCTCAACGATCGTTGATCGTGGCCAACAGGCCGTGGTTTCGATTCACAAAGAAGATCGGCCCTACTTCAGGTTCGGGAACGGCAAATGGGGACAAGCACTCTATCGTGTCTCGTTGACTTCAGCGGTTTGGCGGGCCCTCACTCATCCATGATGGTTGATTTTGCAACAGGTTTTGCTTTGGATTCACATGAGGCCCAACCAGAGATTTACCAGTTGGAAAAGAACAAAAAGGGTCACTACATGTTGGACATCGCCTTTTTCCTCACTCGTGGTTTTTCATGTCATGACGGGCATCCCCACATCCATGTGATTGAGAAAGACAACCCCAACATGATCAACGACCACCATACACTTCAATTCATGCCTTTGGAGCTCCTCTCACAAGAACATGCACGAGTTGTTTATGAACATGATGAAGCACGTCTTCGGCAGTCACGTCAACAGTTGATGACACTACATGCTTATGTTTGTGGCCGCCGTCTTCAGCTCTCAGCTGCTCAAAGGCACGTGGCTGGAAGCCCGACGCCCAATTCGATTTCCCCGGACCACTCTTGCCATGTCCCGGAGCAAGGGCAGCCAGCTGACCGAAGAGCAGGGGAACAAGATCTGGGACATCAAGACGGCAGCCGCAGACTTTCGGGAGAAGATCACCGGCAGCCGCGAGAAGGAGCCACCTCGGCCCTTCGATCCACCTCGTCGGACCGGATCCACGAGACCCTCGGATGAATCCGGAGCAATGGCCGTGCTACGGGGAACATCATCTGGGCTCAGTCCGAGCGAACCCTCACGGTCTGTGGCAACACTGCCAAGCGTGCAACATCCGCTGGATGTACGTGCCTCGCAAGGGCTCCCGTGGCCAGAACACCAAGACCGATGCTCCACCCCTGGTTCAACGGATGCTGGATGAGTTGAAAGTTTTGATGAACTCGGAACGTCATCGGCCGAGATCGTCCATGCCACGCAGAAGAAGGTGGACGCGGACATTGTCCTGGAGGACCTCGTGCGCCGCCAGATCTCCAAGATCCAAGGGGGAACGCAATATGCCGGAGCAGACGGGCAAGGCCGTGGTGAAGAGCACCGGGTATCCTTCCACCTCACCGGCGACTCCGACTTCGAGGAAGAAGACCAAGGGTCAGACACCCAGTCCTTCCTCATGGGAGATTTGCACTCCTCCACCGACCGACCACTTCGAGAAGGATGTCAAGCAGCTGCTGAATCCCAAGGAGATGGAACAGCTCATGCAGCTCCTCGAGGAACGCAAGGCCGTGATGGAAGAGCAAGAGCTGGCCGCCATGACCGGGCTCGCTCAGGCTTACGAGGAGGATGCCTGCCTTCAATGACCTCTTCCACTATGCCCCTAAAGAGCTCTATGGCCTCGAAGCTGCTCTTGATGGCTACAACGCTGTTGAGCTCTATGGCATCCACAACTATGGACTTCGTCCTCGATGAGCAAGATGGCATCTGGGAGATTGCCTGTGCACCGCACTCGTGGCTCAGTGAAGCTTGTTAACAGGGTCTTCGACCTCGCCGGATCAACCTCCAACAGGGCTATGACATCTATAAGACGGCAACTTTGGGAGCGTTTTAAGGTCTTCGACGCCATCATCGTCCCCGGCGACTGTGGTTCAGTCTTCCATGCACCAAGTGGTGCCAATGGTCCAAGCTCAACTATGCCACTGAAGAACGCCAAGAACTGCTGGCTACCTACCGCCGTCGGGAGCGACGCATGCTGTGGCAAGCAGCTCACTTCATTGAGGACACCCTCAACGAGGACCCCGAGACCGACATTTACTGGGAATGGCCTTGGCCTTGTGAAGGATGGAATCAACGATCCCTGGAGTACATTGCTCACCTCCTTCAAGCTCGTGGTCGTGACTGGCTCCCTGCCGTGTTGATGGGTGCAATTATGGTCTACGTGCCAATGATGGTGCTGGCGACTTTCTCCGGGAACGATGGATGATCCGGACAACCAGTTCCTTCTTTCGCCAGCGCTTCAAAGCCAAAGTATGCCCTGGCAGTCACCGGCATGCTTGATCTGGCCACGAAGCTTCGTGTTGTGGTGCTTCTCAAGCTCTATCCAGAGTTGGCTATGCAACCCGAGGCAACCGATGAGATCATTCAAGCCCTTGTTCATCTCTGGCTTGGACATTACCCACGACCAAAACTGGTGGTGGCTGACAATGCAAAGAGCTTCATTTCTTCGAAGTTCCACGATTTCCTCCAGTCGGAGAACATTCAAGTACACTACCCTCCTGAGAAGGAACCGTGGAGCCATGGCATTGTGGAGGCCGCCGTTGCTGACATCAAACATGATCATGTGGCAACCGCCATCCATCAAGAGAACCTGAGCAACAGTCCTGAGATGACTCTAACACTGGCCGCCTCAGCGCTGAATGGTACAGAGTACAGTGCTGGCTACTCTTCTCACCAATGGGCATTTGACACCAAGTACTCCATCAGCGTTGAAGACATCCGCATCTGGAATGCCATTGAGCCCAAAGAAGATTTTCTCAGGATCACCAAGGCTCGCTCTGAAGCCAATTGCGCGTCGATCGCGTGCGAGAAGAGTGTTGAGTAAGCTGGCCAATACCACTGTCCGACAGCCTGTCCGACAGTACGCGCCGACCGAACTGGTAATGGTCTGGCGCAAACTTCAAGCTGGCGAACAACATCAAGGCTCCCGCGGTGGACACAAGAAGTCCGGACGACCTCAATGGGTTGGACCTGGCAGAGTTGTGTTTGCGGAAGCAATTCCTCACCAGGACGCTGATGACAAGAGGCAGCACATCGTGTGGGTTCTTTTTGGAAGGAAACTCCTTCGCTGCTCCGTCCACTCTGTCAGGCCTGCAAATGAGACCGAACGCCTTCGACGCGAGATCTCTTCAGGTGAGGATACTACACAATGGAAGTCCTTGGACGATATGATCCCCAAGAAGGAGTACACGGATCTTCTTGATGAAGAACCCGGCGAACTTGATCAGGAACTACCTGACTTACCAGCGGCTCCTGATGAGACTACGCTGGCTCCTATTCGCCGAGCTGTGGGAAAATCCACCCTGAAGGACTCCGACTACAAGGTCGTGCGCCGATCAAGTCCCATTGGTCAAGCGCGAGCGCCTTCTGCTCCAAAACAATATTTATACTATGAGCTAGTGACGTGGCATTATGAAAACATACCTGGATTTTTGCACCCTGGCCATGTCATTTGTCCTGGCTAGGACAAACAGGGTGCCAAAAAAAGACTTTTTTTGTGGTCGTTACCTGAACAGACGGAGACAGCAGCAAGCATGACACGGCATTTGTTGGCTCAAACCCCTGTATTACACACAAAAATATTCAGATGCGTAATACAGCTGAGCGGTCCACCCGCCTCACACTCATTCACTATAATGTACAACAGATCCACTGTGCAAAGACCAACTTGGACCCGAAAGAAACAGGTGCGGTGCATAGGTGCTATGTCACGCGCGCTGTGTTTACTATCTAGTTCGTTGGAGGGAACCTCCCCAGGGACTCCCATGTCATTGAAACCATACTTTTGGGTGGTGCGCCAAGGCCATGTCATGAGGTCACAGAAAGGCCTACTTTCTGCTTACGAAGGCCATGTCATTGGCCCATAGTATACCTCCTCCACGGGCAACACCAACATCGGAAGACTTCAAGGTTCCCGATGAGGAGTACACGCCGTCTCTACCAGATCCAGAGCCAGGCGGTGATCCAGAACCAGAAGGTACTACGTCCCTGCCTTCGTCTTCAGCAAGGGTCAATGACTATGGAGAAAGTGAGGAGCCAGATAGCTCAAATTGGCTGATGCCAAGGAGCCGGATGTCAAACGCCGTCGTGGCGACCATGAGACTGAGTATGACCTCAAATGGCTGGATCTGCTTCGCGAGTAAGCCCAAGATGAGATCACCACCCACCATGACCTCTTCGCCTTTCTGGAGTCCTACGATGGTGAGTGCCTCTCCATTGAAGTGGACATTGAGCTCAAGAACCGGCGACAACGCCGAAGCTTCATGCAGGACCCCGTCCTCCGAGGTGAACCTCAAGAATGTTAGCGCTCAGGACTTGGTGCTCTTCAACCGGGCCAAGTCCAAGGAGGTCGCTTCATTTTTGCCCAGCAGCGCAGTCCGGCGCTGCCTAGATGATGAGGAAGCTCGTGAGGCATTTGGAAGTGGGCGCATTTTGAAAGCAAGATGGGTACTGACCTGGAAACCGGTCACTCCTGATGAACATCAAGAAGCCGTACATGATCAACTCAACAACCCCACCAAAAGGGCAAAAGCAAGAATTGTCTTGCTCGGCTTCCAACACCCAAGCTTGCTGGAGCGCGACTTCAAGACGTCCGCCCCGGTCATCTCCACTTTGGGACGCCATATGATCTACATGGCTTCAGCGATCCATCAATGGAAGTTGCAAGGGCTTGACCTCGCCTCTGCTTTCCTACAGACGGAGCCCACAGCTGCTGACAACCAGCTTTACACCTACGGTGTGCCGGAACTTCGTGCTGTGCTTGGAGCTCCGGAAGACTCATGCCTGCGGATCCTCCGGAACATCTACGGGAGCACCGCTGCACCCCGAGGACTTTGGCTGTCGCTGAATGAGAAACTCACCTCTCTCGGTGGCCATGTGGTTCGAGGCGAACGACGTCTTTGGGCATGGTACAGCCGGCGCGAAAAAGATCCACATGGTGATCACCCTCGCCTCATCGGTCTGATGGGCGGACACGTGGACGACTTCCACAAGATTGGTGATGAAAGCTCAGCTGAATGGAACGAAGTGTGCCGTCTCATCGACACTGCATACCAGTGGGGAACAATGAAACAAGGTTCCTACCGGCACGCTGGCTCCGACGTCCACACTGTGGTTGACAAGTCTGGCAACTTCAATATTGTGGTCGACCAGAACAGCTATGTGGAAGGCCTCATGGACATTGACATCGATGCCAACCGCCTTCGCGAGCAAGATGTTCTCAGACCTTCAGAGGTCGCCGCCTGCCGGGCAGCCCTGGGAGCCCTGCAATGGCTCGCTGTGCAATCGCAGCCTCTCCTGACGGCAAGATGCATCCTGCTCCTTTCCGAGGTCACGACTGCTGGAACTCTGGAGCATGCCAGGGAGATTCAGGCAATGATTGCTGAATGCCGTGCTCAGGCCACATCCCTCGAGTTCGTGAAGTTCGATGACACTTCCCACTGGTCTGAAGTGGTGTTCGTCGGCGTGGGCGATCAGGCCCACAACAACAGGTGCAAAGGCGAGAGCGCGGGTGGCTTCGTGATCCTGGCCTCTTCACCGGCTTGCAAGGCTGGACATGTTTGCAGGATGAGCCTCCTGGCCTGGCGGACTTGGAAGCTGAAGCGTCGTGCGGTGGGAAGCAACGACGCAGAGGTCCAGGCGATTCTGGAGACGGAAGATGTCCTGTTCCGATGCCGCCTTCTATGGGCAGAAATCCATGGCGCAGGACTGAAGATCCAGAGCCTTCGTGGCTTGGACATGGTGGACCTGGTGGACCTTGGAGATGCGCTGACCAAAAAGCGCTTGGACAGCCGCTTGGGCCTTCAAAGGTTCCTGCAGAGCTGGAAGTGGGCGATCAACTTCGATCCCACGTTCACAGCGGCAAAGAAGAACAAGAAGACCGGCAAGACAGCGCTGGCCAGGCTCGATGCTCATCAGACAAAGTCTGAGTCTTTTTGTTTACCGGTGCAACACGTGCGTCGAGCTTCCATGTAGTTTGGTTGAGCCACCTTTTCCCTCCGGTGGCCGTTCATGCTCAGGGGCCCCTTTTTCAGAGGCGGACCGCAGAGGTCTTGAGGAAAAGCCATAAGCGCCTGCCGCTTTCGTTCGACTTGGTTGGTTTCGTTTGAGCCCTTCTTTTAGCAGCTACCACTGCGCTCCCGCTACACATTCTTTTGAAGTTGCAAACAGTGGGCACGGGTGGGATGGGGTTGGTGGGGTGAAGGTCTAGTTTCGAAATCCGAGTTTCCGAATCCACCATTCCAGTTTCCGAATCCTAGTTTCCGAAACCGTGCTCCTGTACTCACTTGCGTACTTGCATATTACGACCAACCCTATCTTCGTCTTGTCTGAAATTACAAACCACATTTGCAGAAGCGACATTTCAATGCCTGCTCTTCCATGCATGTAGGGCATATTCGGGCATTCACGTCAGGTTTGGTGAAGCAGAAGTCTATCGGTTACGACTCCTTGGCCCTTGCCGCGCGGACGTCTCGGCGGCTTCAAGCGGTATGGGACCAGGTCAGAGGTGGCTTGGCCAAGTGATCGTTTCTTTTCTTTTCCGGCTAGCTCTCTTCTCTGGGCCAAAGATTATGGCAATTCATTCTTTCTAGACAAAGCGCACCTGAGCAAGTGAGCAGTGAGTCGCTTGTCGCTTCTTCGTGTCAAGAGATGTGGACATCACCAGCATGATGTGACTCACCAGCGTGTGGGTTGAATGACCCAAGGTGGCGACGTGAAGCTTGCCGCGGGGTTACTGTAATAATTGGTGTTTTAATGTACAAGTGCACGACACTCAAGACCCTTTTTAGGGCAAGGACCCTATGAACAGGGCTGGCGGAGGAGATCGGTCCTGTGCAGATGTACCCGATGAACCCTCTACCATGTCTAGCCAATTGTTTGAATCTGATTCAAACTCATTTTGTCGACTTTGGTCGAACGATTTGGTTTGATACCATGAACGACACGTTGACACGTTCCATGATTTTTGATGCTAAGGACAGCTTCCTTACATTTGATGTTGAGGACAGCATCCTTGAATTTAAGCCCACACATGTTGGCCAATGAGTGCATGGAGAGACCGACCAGGTGCTTGCTGCATCAAAACTGCCCGCGGAACCCAGAAACGCCGGACCGTGCTGCTCCGTTTGCGACCACGTCGTCGGTCCACATGTCGAAGCGCATGGCGATTTGAAAATGGTGAAATTGGACGCTCCTGGGACCTTTCCAGGCTTTATTTTTATTTCTTAATTAGCTTCTTGTTACTAGTAGCGATGCCCTTGGCTAGTAGCGTCCTTGTTCCTAGTAGGGCCAGGAGTTACGTTCGTAGCGTCCGATCTGTTCTCCAACCTCTTTTCGACGTAGGCTCAAAGCGAGGGACCAACCCGCACAGGTGCCATCCAAGGAGATGGCACACACACGGATGTCCAACTCCACCTCGCAGGTCTTCTCGGAGGCAGGCTCCGTGAAAAAGGCACCAGAACAGCAAAGAAACAGCACTTTCTACATCTATGTCATGCTCTTTCTGATGATGGCTCAGGCAACTTAGTCGTGGAAAATCAAGGATGACTCGATCCATGAAATTTGGCGTTTGCCAGAGAGGTCCCCCGTTTTGCGGAGCTTCGTTGTTTTTGAACGCCTTAATTTCGATCCTTTCAAGGTGAGCTTGCTGTGCTGGTATAGCGTGAATCCGATGCCACATCAAGCACCTACAGCTTCGACCTTGTTCTCACCAACGCGTCTTTTCTGCGGATACCAAACACTCGCAGCCATGCACTGGGCCCTGTCTCTCCTCTTCAACTTCCTCTGGAGGGGAGTTGATCCATCATCCATGCTTGTGTCTGAACTCCAGATGTATATAATGACTGGATGGTCTTATTGGCTGCTAGGTGCTGCACACTCCCTCATGATGAGGGATAGTGTTCCAATCGGAGTCCAAATTATGGCACTTACGTTCCACCGCTTCAACTGTGCATGTCTCGAATTCAATTTTACCTACTTGCTCCAATGTCGATTGTCTCTCCTTGAAACGGGCCTTGGCATGAAGATGGGCGTTGGAAGAGTTCGCAGGATTCGCCGAGTATTTCTGATTCTCCAACTTAGTCTCGATGTGGTCCGTGGATACCTGCAAACCAGTTCGCAGCTCGCCGTTGATTGGTCTTCAGCCATCTATCACCTCGTGGCTGGCAGTGGTGTCGCTTGGTTGGTCCGAAAGCCGGGGTCGCGGGGTCAAAATGTCAGTGGAAGCATGTTTCACAGTAGCATGTGTCACCATGATAGCCGCCAAGGTCTTGTGCACCCTCTACGTGTGCTTGCAGGATTTTGACACCGTGATTCAGGCCTTGGAGCAAACCGTGCTTCCCGATCAATGTTTTGCGAAGCTGGAGAAGGAATGGTCTCTAAAGGTTTTCAGGCGCATGGCATTGGCTGTGAAGATTTCATGTACAGTGAGTTCAGCATCCCACCTCCTTTGCATTCCTCCGGTGCTCCTGGTTCATGGCTCCTTTCGTCCCATCCTGGTTCCAGCATACCACTTGCTGGACATCGTTGGTGAGCTCGTTGGGCTGATCTTCATTGTGGGAATCCTGAAGCCTCAGATGCCGGACATCAAGCCTGAGATACACACCATGCGTGGAACATGCAAGCTAAAAAGAGATCTGAGTAACACGGAGTGGAATGTCAAGGTGCAGGAGCTCGCTCATCGCAGCATCGATCTGGAGAACCTGCTGGATTTCTATGACAAGTTGGGAGGAGAGACGATGAAGCATTTCGATCCTTTCCTGTCGACCACAGCAGATGTAGTCCGGCAGGCCGTCATTCCCCTCTCCAGGATGGAAGGAAGAGGCTTTGCTTACACCGATGTGCTGGCTTCAAGAGGTAAGCTGAGCCAGCAGATGCCAGATTGTATGGTGACTCACACTTGGTCTGGCCTCTTCCTTCACTTGGTTGCTGCCATCGTGTCAGATGCACTACGGCTCGATGAATATCATCAGATAGCATCAAAGATGAGCAGTGGCAAACTCATACAGATCAAGCAAAAGCTTGCTGCAAAGGGTGTGCTGCACAACAGATACTGGATTTGCTGCTTCTGTGTGAATCAGCACGCCAGCATTTGTAATGGTGTCGGAGAGGCTCCTTCTGATCCAGCAGCGCTTGCTCGCTGGGAACGGAACCGCAGAGACACAGTGACAGGTCAACTGTTGAGCCTTTGCGATTGCAAGGAGCCCAAAGTTTTGAATGATCAGCCAGACAAATGCGAACTGAACAAGTTTCATTCCATGATGCTTTGGCTTCAACAGCAGAAGCCGAACTTCCGGCAGCTTGTTGTGGCAGATGGCGACTTCAAAGTCTTTGAGCGAGCATGGTGTGTCGCGGAATTGGTGGCAGCACATGATGCTGACATCCCACAGCGGATTTGCCTTTATTCCAACAGTCCATTTGACTTCGATGAAGAAGACCTGTCTGCCTATGCCAAGTTGGCCAGCATTTCAGTGGTTTCTTGGCGTGGATTCTTGAGCCAGCAAGCTGGTATATGGCTGGGGTAGACAGACCAGAAATCGAAATCCCCAAGTGAAACCCATATACCTCAGTGCCATCCTGGTCTAAGACAAAGGGTTAATTTCAAACAACACGAACGATGTTTCTTTGGGTTCTTTGGCTGAACCGTTCTGTTTTACCAAGATGCCAGATGCGAAAGCTAAGGCCAATAGTCTGGCATCCAGGCCCGAGGACAAGGACATGGTTTTGGAGAAGATCTCCTGCGTGAAGGACAGGTTCTCTTCCTGGTTGTTTCTAGCAGAAACGTTTATGATCAATTTCAAGATAGAAATTCTATTGAGACTTCTCCAGAGTTTCAAGATTTCCTCTCCTGAAAAGGCATTGGCCGTTTCTGATGTTTAGACATCGAAATCCGCAGGGAACAGTTCCGGGACTGGCCTCGCCAAAAGCCAAAAGCACTCTTTTTTCCCCAAACAGTTTACTGTTAGGGGTTCTCAATGCTTTAAAGAATGGTCGCCTTGGTGCTGGGATGGTCTGGTCGGGTTCCCGGCCGGCTTGTCTCTCACATCCTTTCATTTGTCTCCCAGTTCTTTTCCTTTGTCTCCCAGGCTGGGTGCTTGTGGTGTCTCCCACTTTCATTTGTTTCCCACTTCTTTTCATGTGTCTCCCATTTCCTTTCATTTGTCTCCCAGGCTCGGTGTTTGTGGTCGGGTTCCCGGCTGGCTTGTCTCCCATTTCCTTTTATTTGTTTCCCACTTCTTTTCATTTGTCCCGGCTGGCTTGTCTCCCACTTCCTTGATTTGTCTCCCATTTCCTTTCAATTGTCTCCCAGTTCTTTTCATTTGTCTCCACACTGGATGCTTGTAGTCGGGTTTCGGGCCGGCTTGTCTCCCACTTCCTTGCATTTGTCTCCCACTTTTTCCCCAAACAGTTTACTTTTAGGGGTTCTCAATTCTTTCTTAAGATGCTGTCCGCCCTTTGTGTCACTGCTGGTGTCCGCCCATTTCCATTGGCCGCTGGTCGTGTAGCATTTGTATTCATTTGTCTTTCAGGTCTGTCATAGGTCTGTCACTGTTGGTGTCCGCCATTTTCCGCTGGCCACGTAACAATTCTATTGTTCTATTCATTTGTTTCCCAGGTCTGTCACGCTGGTGTCCGCCTTTTTCCGCTGGCCACGCAGGATTTCTATTCGTTTATCTCCCAGGTCTGTCACTGCTGGTGTCCGCCCTTTTCCGCTGGCCATGTAGCATTTCTATTCACGAAAGCTAGCACGCTAGCTGAGTTCTTCTTTGCTTTAGCAATTGGTAGTGGGATGAGCTGTGTGCCTTAAAGCTTGATATATCACACTAAGGAAGGGGTCAGCCCCCCCCCCCCTTAGTGTGATATATCACGCTAACCCCCCCCCCCCCCCCCCCCCCCCCCCCACGGTTCGACTCCCAGCTGCGCCGTGTAGCGGTTGAACGTGTGAACGCGGTTGGTTGGGTGTAAACGGTGGCTTGGTGTAAACGGCGCTGCTGCTGCCGCTCTGCTGCTTGCTGCTGCTGCTTGCTGCTGCTGTTTGCTGCTGCCGCTGGTTGCCGCTTTTGTAGCTGCTGCTTTGCTACTTGTTGCGGCTTGGTGCTGCTGCTGCTGTTGCTGACGACACCGCTGCTGCTGCTGCTGCTGCTTGCTGCTTGCTACTGGTGCTGCTGCTGCTGCTGCTGCTGCTGCTGCGGCTTGGTGCTGCGCTGCTGCTGCGTGGTGCTGCTGGCTGGCTGCTGGTTGGTGGTTGCTGCTGGCTGCTGCTGCTGCTGCTGGCTGCTGCTTGCTGCATAGGACTTGTACTTCACTGTTACAAGTTCTTTATCCCTATTTCTAACCTAATTCATGCATAAGCGGGGGGTAAATTTACCCCCCAGAGTTGCCATAACCATAAGCCGGCTATTTCCTCAAGACACTCTACTCCTTATACCTTTTACCAGTGCTTATCCTACACTGCGGACGCCCTAGTGTATGCACAGTCCTTGTGATGCCAGAAATATCCAGAAATGCTTACCCCTCTTTTCGGCCCAAGGCATACAAAAGCGGGGGGTAAATTTACCCCCCAGATTTGCCGATCACGCATCTTCGTGCCTGCCAACGAGTGCGCCCGTGTTGTTCCAATGTACCCTTCCCAGTCGGCGATGTCACATTTACATTCTTTAGCGCAAAGTACGTACGTAGCAACCTTTCTCCCAAAACATGTAATCACTACACGCTTTGCCGACTATGTAACTAGTACATCCG